GTAGACCACCCACAGAAGAACAGCAGAACAGTTAGCACGATTATAAGTATTTTATTGGCGAACAGCAGCTTGAAGTGCCGGTGTATCAATACTGCGTTATCGGTGAATACTGTTATCATCATACTGCCATTATCGAATAGCTGCTTATCAATACTTGGCATTATCAATACTCGTTTATCTGAAATACTGCCCGCCTAACGACAGCAGGTTAGCAGTCGGAGCCCTAACAGACACAGTTAGCATCGCGGAGGCCTAACAGACACAGGTTAGCCCCATCGCGGGAGCTAACATAACAGTAGCATCGGCGCGAGCTAAGCAGACACTGACCATCTCCGCCTCAGTCAGCCCTGCCACACACAAACACTCCTTTTCCCGTTGCTTTTCCCGTCTGATGGTGCAAACGACTGTCGCCGTTTGTTCCCGCTTGATGGGGCTGAAAAGCACTGGCGTTTGGCGTTCTCCGTGATGTGAAACACTGGTCGCGTTGTTCCCAGTTTGATGCTGCGAGAACACTGGTCGGCGTGTTCCGCGTTAAGTGATAACGATGTCGGTTGTTCCCGGTTGCATGCCTGCAGAACCGACTGTCGGTTGTTCCCGGTTAATGTGAAACACCTTGTCCGCGTTGCTTCCCGTTGATGGTGCAAACACTGTCGGGCTGGCGTTCCTTAGCCTTTGAATAAAATGTTTAAAATGTCGCGCCTTAACGCCGCTGTGGAACCTGGTGCTGCCTGGCCTTCCTGTCTGCCTGCTCCTGTCTGCTGCCTGCTCCTGGTGCTGCCTGCTCCTGTCTGTCTGCTCCTGTCTGTCTGTCTTGTCTGCTCCTGTTGTCGCTGCCTGCCCTGTCTGTGCTGCTCCTGTCTGTCTGCCTGCTTCCTGTCTGTCGTCTGTCTGCCCTGTCTGTCTGCTGGTCCTGTCAAGCCTGCTCCTGTGCTGTCTGCTCCCTGTCTTCTGTCTGCCTGTCTGTCTGTCTGCCTTGCTCCTGTCTGCCTGCTCCTGTCTGTCTGCTCCTGTCTGTCTGCTCCCAGCTAACAACCACTGACCCAGCAGACTGACGCACAGCCGGAGAGGCTGCGTCATGACGTAGCGAAGTCTGCCAAAGATCGTGTATATAAAAACAAGAGTGCGCGTAAGTAATTGCGCAGTGGAATCATTGTATCAGACTGGAATGTTAAAACTACAATTTAATCTGCATATTATTTATTTATTTATTTATTTATTGCCCTTTGCCGTTTTATTTAGTATTTCCCTTTATACTTTTTGTTTGTTTTAACACCAATGGACTGAAATGGAAACAATAAACTTTGTTTATATGGCCCCTTTCATACATAAAATAAGATACAGGAAATAAAAACAAGTTAGAAATGATAAAACATTAAGATAAAACCATACACGTGGTATAAAGATATAAATAAGTGTATATATATCAGTTATGCCTGTTTGTGGTGGGATTATGTTTGAACCTTTGGTGTATAAGAACAAAAAGCTGTTTCATACTGTTTGTACTTCGGAAAATTAAAGTTTGTTTGGATTAATAAAAAAGTGCAGCAAAATGAACTGAGCACTCACACATATTAATGTTAATGTAGTATTAAAGCTCCAGAGTGTACCACTTAGGGACATCTAGTGGTGTAGTTGTACATTGCAACACCACAGGTCTCACATGAATCAGATGGACTACAAAAACAACATTTTAGATACTGTGTTGTTTCATGTAAGCGATATACACAATATGACATGTTGTTCTCTGTACATACCAGCGGACCCGCTCCCTCTCAAAGTAACAAAAATACAACGATTCTCATTTTCAGGTGATTAAACACTAATGAAAACACACCTATGAATATTATATATATTATATATATATATAATATACCATGTCGCCCTCTGGTGGCTGTGAGCACTTTAACCTCCAACAACATTTCCTGCTGCACACGTCACAGAAGTTCTATGAAGGCTCCAGACTGTGTTAGCTGCTAATAGCATAACACACCTGAATCCCCGGCCCAACTGTGGGCCACCTAATTGCATTGTGGGTAATGTAGGCAGCAGGTTTACAGGAGTGGGATGGTAAAGCAGAAGAGGACAGATGTGTCGTTCTGAGGAAGAATGATGATGTGTGTGAAATAATATGATTTATTATATAATGACAGCTAACACTGGATCCCACAATGGGAATTGGTCCCAGTACAGCACTGATGGTACCAGCAGAGGTCAGAGGTCAGAGGTTGGGTACTCTCCTGCTGCACAAATACAAACACACAATCAGATGGATTTTAAGCCTTTATTTATACGAGTCAAACTTTAGAACAGTAAGTCTAAAGAATAATAATAAAGTTGATCCACTGACAACATTTTATGCTAACCTGACCAAGAATCATCTACTGAAGATCCCCAGTAGATCTCCAGTGGATCCCCGGTAGATCTCAGATGGATCCGCGGTAGATCTCCGGCAGATCTCCTGTGGATCCCCAGTAGATCTGTAGTGGATCCCTGGTAAATCTCTGGTGGATCCCCATTAGATCTGTAGTGGATCTGGTGACCTGCCTCAGGGCAGAGTCTCCGTGTGGACCCTGGACAGGTTGACGTCGTAATAGATGTTGAGTTTGTTGATGGCTCTCAGGTCGGTGATCCGGTGTTGAAACGACAGCAGGTGAGAATTGTTGACAGCGACCTTAAACTCTCTCTGGGAGCAGAGGATCTTTATCTGCAACCACAAAAACACAACCTCACAGACTGGTCCTCAAACTACACTTTATGGTGCATTCAGGGACAATCCAACACCTTAGCGTCACCATCAGAAGACAAACATAAAGTCTTACATTTTGATAGAGGTATAGAAGAAATATCTGACCTCGAATGGCTGTCCCTGGACGAAGGGGAAGTGCTGCAGGTCTCTCTCCTCTTTCCCCCACTTGTTGCCGATGCAGCTGTTCCGGACGATCACCTTCTTGCCGCTCTCGTTGAAGCGAGGATTGAAGTGGAAGGCCAGGTCATTGGATGTGCCCAGATCCACTGTGAACCTGAACAACAACAGACATCACTGATCAGCTGAATCCCTCCATCCGTCCATCCCTCCTTGGTTTTTAATGAAGTGTTCATACTGACTTGTCAGCGTTGGGTTTGATGGTTCCAGCGATGGTGATGAGCAGTTTGTCATAAACTCCACTGGGAAGACTTTGTTTGTACGGAACCGCCTGCCAACAAGGAAACAACCATTAACTCCATCCATCATCAGTTCGTCATCCATCCATCAACTATCCATCTCTATCTTTTTCTGTCTTACCAGACTCTGTTGTGGGGCAACAGGGATGGCAGGTCCAGGTCCAGGTCCAGGTGATGGGCTGGGCCATCCTCCAGGTGCAGTGGGCTGTGGGGAGGGCCAGGCAGCTCCAGGTTGACCTCCAGGTTGACCTCCAGGCCAGGTGGGGTTGGAGGACGGTTGACCTTTACACACAAACACATCCTGTCTTTGTTCAGTTCTATTCTAGCCTTCATACGCAGGATTAGGTTTGTCTGTAGCTGTTGTTAGCAGGGTCAGAAGCTTCCCAGTGAACACAGACAGTTAGCTAGTTAGCTCTGTTAGCAGCAGGTAAACTTGGTACTGCGTTCCCAGTTGGTCTCGGATGCTGTGTTTGGTCCTGCTAACAGCAGCTACACTTAGCAGCAGTTAGCAGCTGCCTACTATCTGTCTATCAGAAAACTGTGTAAACCAGCCCAGAGAGATGGAGCTGGACTAAAAGATGATAATTGTACCTGGCCAGGCAGGATTGGTGGGTTGTCCCGGCCAGCCAGCGCTGCCTCCTGATTGATTGTTGCCTCCAGCCGGCCAACCACCTAAAGCGTCTTCCAGCTGCAGAGAGAAAGATACAGGAAGTTCTAACAGAGGCTGCAGTTACTCTAACATCCACCAAGTGCCTCCTTTTGTACCTTTAACTTTAAAAATGTAATCCAATTACTAATTACCTGTTCAAACATTTTGACAGTAACCTAATCCAAGTATCACAATAGTAAAGTAACTTGATTACTTTCAGTTACTTTTGGATTACCTCAACAGCAAATATGTAAATAAAGAGAGAGAGAAAGAAAAGAAGAATCAATAAGAAGTATTGATCTGTGTCCTCTAATGTATTTAAAATTATAATTGTACTAATACTCTACACTGTAATCTGATTACATATTTTTCTGTAACTCTAATGGATTACAGTTACCTTCTTTAGTTAGTTAGTTAGTTAGTTAAGATGGATAACATGATAAACATTAGCATGTTAGCATTGTCATTGTGAACACGTAGTTCTGAGCAGTTATTACTTATTGATTCTAGAGAACTGATTGAACTGATTGACATTTCTGTCAAATAAAGTCACAGTTTTCACTTTCCTCGTGTCTCACACACTACACACTGTACACACAGTACACACAGTACACACTGTACACACTGTACACACACTGTACACACACTACACACTGATACCACCACTGTACTACACACTTAGTTAACACACACTGTACACCACTGTACACACACTGTACACACACAGTACACACACAGTACACACACAGTACACACAGTACACACACTGTACACACAATACACACAGATTAAAGACTGTTTGTGTAAAATGACACAAACTGCAGTGAGTCTGACAGTCTGGGCTGTCCCTGAACGCAGCACAGCTCACAGGGTGTGTTCAGGGTGTGTTGGTGACAGACTCACCAGGAATGTACTGTATGACCCCCTCCCCACCCAACACACACACATACAAACACACACACACACACACTGAGTGTCTTTGTGGAGTTGTGAAACATCCAGTAAATGTTCACAGACCTACAAACATGGCTGCTGACTTCAGGAAAACCTCCCCAGCAATAATTGGTATTATTAATGAATTAATTATGAATTATTATTATTTATTAATCAAGTGTTATTCTGTATCTCCTTTCACCAGAGGGAGTTCTGTCTTTCTCTTAAACAATCAATCAATCAATCAATAAGAATA